TGGGAGACTAGAAGGGTGGGATTTCTAGATTGGATTTAAGTACACAGCCGTGAGGTTTCAACCGGTTAATAATGTAGATAAAACCGAGACTTCGAAGAAGGCTAAGCGAGACGTCGCGATGTTGTGGCGAACTTGAATTTCCCGACTTACCACCCCGTTCCCCGGCCCTCTGGCTGATTTAATTTGACAAATTGACAGACACCGGCGAAACACTGGAACTGTTCCAAAATAAATACGGCAACCTGTTCCTCCGTCACGACGTGACCAACAATTTATAGCCCCGCTCGAGTAATAAAGAGGAAAGCAAAAAATTCATTAACACATCGGGAGGAAGGAAACGAGAGGAGGTCAAGAATCTTCCGTCTACCGGAAAATTGTACGAACTTCAGCGGCAAGGTAAGCGAGAAATGAAATAGGAGTATCGTCTCGTTGTCGAGAATCGCGTTTCATCTTCCACGAGGCGAGCGTCACGCGGAAGAAGTCGTCAGTCAGCGGACGGGTTTCAGTAATTTATTAAAATCCTCGCGAATCTCTGCCGCTTTAGACGAAAGAAAAAGAAAGGAAAAGGAAAAATTCAGCAGAAGGACAGAGCAAACGCGAGAACCGGATGGAACACGCGGGAGGGAAGAGAAAGAAGGCTTTTATGCGGAGGCCAGCTGGCTCAGCACGACAAAAATTCTTTCAATTACAGAAAAGCGAATTCTCCTTAACTCCCTGGGCATCGATATTCATAGCGAAGCGTGTTACGTAAAAGTTACGGCGGGATTTGGGCGTTGGTGGATGCGCGAGGAAGAGGGAGACAGGATGCGGATCAGGCTGCAGCTGGGTTATAGGCACTCGGAACTTGAAGACCAAGGAAGAGGGCTGTGTTAACACCGAGACGGGTGGAAAAAGTATAACGGAACGAAGGGACGGAGAAGAAGAATTGGGCAGCGGAGGGCGGCAAGCCAGGCTTGATTGGAAAGGACAGCCTATCCGCAATTTGCGATCCAACAGAGGGGAATAGAGGAGGAGGTGAGAATTCGCTTGTCTTTCATCGGTACTTTCTTTCCCTTCTTTTCTTCGTTCCCCTCCTCCTTTTTTTCCCTTCGCTTACACGCAACCCCTTTTTGCATTTCAAGGGACGCGCCACCAGAGACGACCCCGTCGATACCCGCGGTCTTATCAAGCCAGATCCTTTGGATTCTTGCTCGTCGCGGAGGCGTTTGGATATTAACCGGCAGCCAGGATAAACGACCTCGTGATTCCAATGAAATATCGACAGCGGCGAAAGTTTGTTTAATCAGGGAATGCCGACGTCGCGCACCCCGCGATTGCCAGCTCACCGGTTCAACTTCGAGGGGGCGAGAAGAGGATGGAGTTACGTTTCAACCCTTTACTCGTGGCACACTTGTCAAGAAAAGCTGCGGTGGGTGTAGGTACTTTTTAAAACCACGGTTTATTAATTTCAACCACTTACCTATCGTATACCCTGCACTTAATAAAATTGTGATTTATTAATTAATTTTAACGAGCTTCTACTTTTCGATCACCCTGTGCAAATTTCCATAAATAAGTGTTTCTGGGTAGATAAGGGGTTAAGAAGATATCGGATACGATTCGAGAACGTGGGTTTACGCAGATTTATCGTTTATCGAATTCTATTTCCTGTCTTCCTGCCGCTTTGAGTATCGACTATCGGGCTAATATTAAAACGCAATTGTCGTGTTCGCCGGCACCGAGTTTAGCCACGGCGTTCAATCAAAATGGATACAGGTCGGGGCATTTTATTTCTCTCGGGTCAAACCAAATGCGTCGCAGCATCGACTGTGGTCTACCGAACCGACGATTGCATTATTAATAAATATTTTCTCACTTTCCTCAATCTGTATCAATTCGTCAATGAAGAACATCTAAAATGACTTATTAATTCGTGGCCGATTGATTATCGAAAACAGAATCAAATTGTTCTGAATTATCTGAAAATATCCTGACATTCGTTGGCGAAGGGTTAATAGATTCTACAAATTCGAAGGACTTATCGCTCGTAAGCTTGTTTAGGGGATTTTCCGTTTCCGGTTTCTCAGATGCCAAGAATACCTTCGACTTCCCCGAACCTTAAGTCTCCACTGACGTCACTCGAACCCTCGCGAGCAACCCTCGACTCGGTGGAACCTCTTAAATTATAAACAGTGTCAGCCAACGCCGCGAGACTTCGATCGACACGTAACCGCAGAAACTTCCTAGTGCCTGGTCCTCGGCAACTCCGTTTCAGAATTCAAACTTACGCGGATATGCTCTTGTCTCCAAGTTTCGCGTCAATCTTCGTGCGAGCATGACCGCATTAATTTCAGAACGACCATAAGGGAACCGGCCGGAATCATTCATGTGCCTTCGATGAACCGAAACACTCGATGTGTTGTTGCATATCGAACGATCTGGTACAATTTCATGACATAAAAGTGTCACCAAATTATGTTTATAGCGCATCGAATCAAAGCTTAAAGTCTGAAGAAAATGTCTATACAGAGGATTCATCGATATTCTTAATACAAAGTTCTTACCAGAAAGGAACCTTGGCATCAGCAACGAAGTACTCACGGATCTCAATGAAGTTCTACTTGATAATTGCAAATAATTAACTCGAGAAAACAATCGAAGGCATTAGCAGAGCAAGTTGGAACCTGAGCGAAGTTAGAGGCTGGCAAGACGGGTCCCTCTTAGGGGACAATGAAGGAGGGCAGGAAGTGGTGGTCGAGCTGGCGAGTGGTCAGCAGAACTTGATAGTTTCTCAAAACTCGATCTTCGAATCGCCTCCTCGAACCTCGCATGCTGCCAAAGAATCTCACACATAGAACCCGAGTGTCACCGAGAAGGATGATCAATATTCTAACTAGCCATCCGATCGCGAAACACCGAGTTACAGCTATTTTAAAATCGGGTTAACTATCGAACGGATTAAACAAAAAGGCGAAAAAGAATTTAAAAAAAATTCATCGAGAAACTAGACCAGTGTGTCGTTAAAATAATCCCAAAAATATCTCCTCGACGTACACTTATGTATACGTGTCAGCCTGACGATAAGCAAATCTCTGTTTACACGTAACCAACAGGCGAGCAGATGTACGTGTCGCACGTGTAATTCACTCGCTCGTGTTGGTACACACGTATTTACCTGGTGCGTCACGTGAACTTGATATTCACCGGTACTATCTACATACAAGCAAAGCAAGCCGGTACGTAAACGCGATGTTCGAATAAAAATATCCTTTGCGATCCGATATGTCAGCCACGATTATTAATATAATTTATTCCGACCGCGGGAAAAGGGGGCCGTTATCGATGAAAGAAGCCTTATCGAACGATCTCCTACACGAACCGAACGAAACAAATCTATGTAGAAGCGATAAGAGATCGGTGTGTTACGATTCTTTGTGAAAATAATCGGTTAAAAAATAAAATTAAAAATTTCAAATGATAGATATTTAAAATATTCTTTTTCTTTTTGCAAAATTATTAATTATCCATTGACGGGGTTTATAACACTTTTCACAAAGAATCACTATTTTATTCACTCTACACAGGAGACACATTGAAACACTCCAACGTATCTGGAAAGAAGCACACGCATTTCGGAGCGGTTGGTTTGTACGCGCGTGTCACGCATACACGCATTCCGAAGGTGGTTTGGCTTTATACCTGGCCGAGCGTGCGACCATATCGTTCCCCCTTTCGAAAAGGAAACCGTCGAAAAGGCCGCTTTAAGGGCCATAAAACATTTGTTTCCCTCCGTGGCGTTCTAGTGCTATATTGCGTTCAGCCGCGAACGCGGGATTTTGAATTGAATTTGAAATCAGGGGCTCGATTTTATGGTGGCCCGGGTGTCAAACGTCTTGGAAGTATCGCGCTATGACTGCCTTATACACGGTGTTCCATCACAACATTCTGAATAAAAAATACCATACCAACGATGAGTCACTTTAATTCCATTATTGTGACATGGACAAAAATTCAAACTCAAAATCATGAAAATAATTAATTAAGAAAATTCCAATTACACTGATAATGTTCTAAATCTATCTGTTTCTTTATAGAACACCTTGTGTATCGCAGGAAAACTTTCGCTTTGAGATCGGAAACCCTCTGACGGAGGATTGTTATCGGTTTACTGTATATCGCGATACAGAACGATCACGATCGTTCAATTCCACTTTTCCATTTCCACGGAAGGCGGGGAAAGAGAAAAGGAGAATGATGTAGATCCAAGAGGTTCTTATCGAAGATTCTTTTATTCTGAGAAACGAATGAGTCTACCCGGATGGTGTTAGCGCGCATCGTTCGTTTTATCACGGGTAAGCAGATGTTTGCTTCTAAAATTAGTACTATTTATGGAGTGATGTCGTCGTTTATTAATAAACCTATCTCTGCGTTCCATATAAATTCGTGGAAAAAAAAAAGAACGAACAACGGCGAGTAAACCGTCTTCGACGAAGGGAAACGTGTCGCGTTGTTTCGAAAATTTTCAAAATCTAAGAAACAAGCTTCTCGACGCTGTCATCGTACGTGTGTTACGATCGAAGTTTACGAGAATGATCGAAATTTCAACAACACGTGTGTTTATTGTAATAATATTTTCATCAATTGCCACCGGTAACGGAAAAGCAGTTCCAAGATATCGGACACTTTCCTGAGCGATGAAGTCATTTGAACGAGCGAGAAAAACATTCAACAATGACAACAAGAGATGCGAAAACAGAAAACAATTTCTCTCGACGGAAAGCTTGTTTTTTAAATGAAAAAAGAAAAACTTAACCTAATCCCGCGATAATTGCGACACTATGAGTGTCATTCAAATGTCACGATCTTAAATAACCCAAGAATTTATCATCCGAGGGTTAAAACTCGCTGCGGACGCATTTTAGATCTTTCCTTCGGTTTTTAAAGGAGACGCAACGTATAATGAAGAAAGGCGAAGCGCGGTTATCTTATCAGAAGCGAATTTCTACAGATTAATTTCTTACCTGGTCGTTGTCTTGTTGATCTTGGCCGTACGAGGGGGTGTCACCATTCGGGGTAGTGGCGGCGGAGGGTCGCTGTGACGTTGACAAGTTGATCGCGCCGTCTCCGTCTGTGTCATGATCCATTATGCCATCGTCCTGAAATCACGATCATCGTTACGTCAAATCGTAGCCTTCTGGTGCAGTGAACTTCACCGTGAACTGATACACGCGTTGTTGTAACTATGTGTTATACAAATACAAGTGTATATACACATATATATATATATATCTCGTGTTGCGTCAGTCGACGAAATTTTTCATGCGCCGTTTCTCCTATCCGGTCGAATGTTTTTCAACGGGCAAGCACGAAAGTTTAGCTTCCCGACAGAGGCACGAGGAAAGAAAAGGATCGGGGATCTTCTATGAAGGTCTCGAAATGTGCTTTGTTATCCGATATATTACCCTCGTCCCGAGGAACAATTTTAGATCACGTCTGACGCATGTGATGCCATACACACCAGGCTAAGGCAACAATGTTCGGCTAATAATATATTCTACGCTTGCATTTCGTACCGACCACCACTGAACTGTCCGAAATAATCGGCAAACTTATTGGACACTTACTTCACGAAAACTCCTTGGTCCCCAATCTGAGTCTGCCGATAGTCAGCTCGAAATTCATGGGAAACGTCTTGAAGAAAACGCGCACAGGAAACCTAACTTAAACCTAACCTAACCTGTTCCTATCGAAACAGGACGATTCGTTTTTTTTCACACACACTGTACGATACACTCGGAGCGAAGAATAAAAGAAGACGAAAAAGGGGATGGTCAAGAAGTTTCCATGTGAATAGAGACACTCGCGGAGACGTAGCACTTCACCGTCGAGGAATCGGCATACCGGAAGTACGCGGATCACCGAACTGTCGCGCAACGATCGCGCGGGTTAAACGTTTCATCGAATCGCGTCGGTTCGTTCGTTCAACCTTCGTGAGCGCGCGTTCGCAGGGTGAAAACACAGAGCGGTGGAGCGCACGTGGACGCAAAGGTGCCGTCAAAACGTGGCGAGAAACGGCAAGGTGGAAAAACAGAGAGAGAACCCACTGTGTGATAAAGTGAATAAGACGAAACGGGTGGATAAAAGGAGAACTAAGAGAAAGTGGGGGGTGCAGGAGGAAGAGGAAACGCCAACGACACCGGTAAAGACGAAAATCAACGTTCACGCGTCGACCGAGTAGCGAGGACTAAACACTAAAACCGGCGCAGGCATACCAAGCAGCCCAACCGGCGAGGCTGTTGCTTATTGTGTAAATATAAACAAATATAGTTGAAACCAACCAACAGGCCTGCTTTCAGCTCTCTTCCCTCTCCCCTAACGCCGCGTCTTCTACTCTTCGTTTCTGTGCCCTACCTTCTCTGTCGGCATCTTCCCCTCCTCGTTTTATCCTTCGCCTCTCCTCCCCAACCCCGTGTCCTCGGGCTGTGCCCCTCTTGCTCCGCTGTAACACCCACCCTTCGTCACGTCGCTGACCCCACCGCCGCCAGGCAAACCAGTACATCATATGTACGGGCCACGTTGTAAACGCGGCTGGCTTGCCCTGGCCTGGCCTCTCTTGCTTTGCCTTCTCTTCTTGTCTTCCCATATGCTCGTCTCCGCTCGAACATTACACATCGTCGCACGGTTGTCGGGCAAGCCGTCCCGACGCGACGCCTAACTTTCCGACGCTCGTCTCCGTTACGACCAGCTGAGAGACACCGACGCCTTTCACGTTTCGTTAAACTCGTCTCCGCGGAATTCATTTTTACGACAGTGCCTTGGATACCTCGGGGATGAACACGGATCGAACGTTCTACGTTAAAAATTTTTTTTTTTTTTTGGAGCACACGAAGAAGATCCCGAGGACACTAAGATTCGAAGAATAAATATGTTCTTTTTTTTCCGAGAGCCAGTGGAGGCGAGGTGACTGTGACTTTCTTAGGTACACTCGAACGGTTCGATTCCACGGACTTACTAATAAACTATGAATATTCCGTTCTTTCGTTGACTGGATACACATGAACGCGAGGAGGTACCCAGCACACACGGCCGTTCCGTAAATACGTGTGTACACGTGTTGTCTGACGCAACCTGAACCACCGGCTCAAGTTTGTATAGGCGAACCGGAAATGGGGGACGAAATATTCCTCGAAACGGCGTGTCCTTAAATATATTCCTTTCACTCGTATTTCAAGCACACGACAATTGTACGCCTTGCAGTTGTACGCTTTCAAAAACATATGTACGTATAATCTTTTCATTATTTTCTTTTTTTTTTTTCGCTCGATACATCAAGAATTATTTCATTTCTGGCTAGCTAGCATTGTATTATACGCGATCGATCAGTTAAAACTTGAAGGCATTGAGAATAATGTTCAATTTATACGAGTACCCCTTCGAATGAACCCTCGTAGCGCGGTGGTTCGGATAGGGGATGAAGAGAAATTCCATGAGCGACTTTATTAAGCTTACGATACTAGTCCTATCGGAACTATTCCGAGGCAAATCCTCGGCTTTGGCCGTTCCATTGTCGAACGGCTAGGTGTATCCTCGTGACCCAACGGCGGTTCAACGAGGGGAGCCACGGACCCATCGCCCAGTCCTATGACAACAAAACTGGGGGCAAAAATAGGCGCAGCCGGCCGGCCAGCCTTGTATACGTGGCGTATACTAAATATGTATTTATTAAGTAAACAACCGTTGCGCTGGGGTTCCAAGGTACATATACGTCTCGTTTCCTATTTCATTGTGAGTAATGCGTTCTCGTGAACCCGATGGTGTTTGGTTACTACACGCTGCAAGAGCGTAGAACCCTCACTTGGATATGCTTTACAAAAAAAAAAAAAGCGGAGGAGTTCAGGCTGAGGTACCGATTATCCAGAACGATCAGAAATTAACCCTTCGAGGTGACTACAGTTGTTTCGTTGTAAAATCAAGTTGAATATATATTCTATGTCGACTGGGAGATCGGTGTCCTTTGAGCAATTAACGAGATACAGGATAATCCGACCGCCGTGAGAAGGGGGGGTTAAAAATTAAAACCAAAGAACAGGGTGTCCCGGAACAGAGGCATCAAGGGTTAAGAACGAAGCTGTATACGATCCTCGGGAACGCGGGCGGTTCGACGGTGTGGGTGGTAGGATCGAGTAAACCGAGCGTAAAGAAGGATAATCGCCGGCAGTCGAAGTAAGAAGAGATAACGAGATCGTATATCCCCATCAAAAAGGAGAGAAGGACAAGGTAAACGCTTGTCTTCCCGCGGTTGCCTGTATGTGTGTATAGCTATGACCATCACCCTTGCCGTACGGGCACCCTTCCACGAACACGCGTGTCTCCGTGCTCCCCTTCTAAATAATAAACGAGAGGATTTACCCCCGTCAGGTTCGCGCGACGGTACATAAAAATACTCGAATCTGAGAAATTAGCGGCGGGACTAACGGGAACGTCGTTGGTCGCGCGAGGAAGATGAAGAAAGAGGGATCGTGGAAAAAGAGAGGCTCTCGATGGGACGGGGTCAGCGAGAACGGAGGCGTTTTCGGTGCTCCGTGCTGGGTAAAGGCTGGGAAAAAAGGGTACCTAAAAGGGTTGAATTAATGTCGCGATAAATATATGATTTAAGGTGGAAACGTTTGCAACTCCGGCTAATTTTTTATCTGAGACCGCGGTGTTCCTCGTCGAGAGGGTTTTTTTTTACCCCTAGAAAAGAGAGACCGACGATCTCTCGAAGCGAGCGCACTTGGACGTCCAAGGGGGTTGAAACTCGACCGCGGGGAGAAGGAAGCAAGGCTTGGAAAGGAGAAGAGCGACAGGGGGGGATGAAAAGCGGCAGGGTGACAGAGGCGGAGAGTGGTCGAATCCAACGGTTATTTCTTTTTTAGGGTAATTTACTACCGGCGAAAATTTGAGCGGACGCGCGCTTTTTAATAGTTCGCGCCACTCCAAGGACTCTCTCCGTCTCTCTCGTCTTTTGTTTGTTTTTTTTTTTTTCGTCCCTCATCCCCGTGACACGGCCATCTCTTTCTCCGTCTGTCGTCCAAGAGGATCGGCAAATGCGGAGGGACAACGTGGCGGCATCGTTCCGCCGCGGTTACGATGAAAATTACGAGACTATAGAGCGGCCATCCACGACGCAGTTTATGTCACTCGACTCCACCGACGAATTTTACTACAGATTACTCATCGCTTTTTTCTAACTTTCAAAGTAGTTCTACCTACGATCACATAGTATTACATGATGGTACAATGATGATATTACTTGTTCTTACCAAATCCTATCACGGTCAATTAAAGACAAACAATCAAACCCTTGGACGATCGTCCAGCTAGTCCTTTCGCGCGCAATTTCGCGTCGACTTCGAAGATTGTACGTCATTCGGAATTTCCGGGACGGAAGAGCATCCCCGCGGGACCGCAAACAGCCGTTCCCCCAATTATCCAGGACAGGAGCGAGCTTTGATGGCGAAACTCGCGTGTATCAGCGGCGCATACGTGACAAAGAGTCTGCGAACGGAAATCAGAACTATTCCCGTCCACCCTTATTTCTTGGCCGGCGAGAAAGATAGAGAGGAGCGAACACGAAGGGCGGTGGTCACCCTACAGGAAGCGAGAACAGCCACGACCGCTTAGGTTTCCGCAGCGTCGACGCTTTTTGAATTAACCGCCCTGGACATTAGAATACGAAATTGATATATTATGGCCGAGGAGTAAGCCCGTTTCGCCCCTTCTTTAACCCTCCGTTGAAAGGCCGCGAAACCGCGCGGGTTAGACGGGACCGGTGAAAGAAGAAGAAGGGAAGAGAATCGTCCGGTTACACACACTCTTTAGGCATGACTGGCCGCCGTTCGCATCTTTCATCGCATTATCTGCCCTCGTAAAACACATCTTTATAGGTTTCCCGAAACGTTGTTCCCTTGCCACTGTCTCCCAACGTGTCCTCCCCGTTCCTTTTCTTCGACGTTTTCCTTGGACGATAGCGTTTCGCATCGAAAACTATGGATATCAGTTTCTGATAGTCATATCTGTTAAACCTGCTTCGCACGAAGGAAAGTTATTCTCGCGAATAATTAGATGACAAGAAAATATTCTTTAAAATGTAGGAGAAGAGAGAAAAAGGCGTCTG